TTTTTTTTTATCGAAGCTTAAGCTAAATTATTATTAATTCAATTCTTACGCATTCGTATGCATTATCTACGTTGGCTTTCTCATAGAGGAAGCTCTGTGATAGGCTCAAAAACGAGATTTCGAACGAGACCTTGTAGGAGAATTTGGTTTACATATTTGTAATCTTGATTGAATTCTCAACAAATGTCCGTATGTATGTATGTGTTTGTGTGTGTGTGTGTGTGTGTGTGTGTTTGTTATCTCGGCTTTTTGGCTAAGATAATAGTGTAGTACTCGATCTAAAAAAAAATTACTTTAATTCATATTTTATAGCAAATACTCATTGTCGTAAAAGTTATGGCTAATAGTAATGCTCAAATCAATGAGAATCGAAATGAAAAAAAAATTAAAATAATTGTTTACTTGCAGCTGAAAATACCTAAAAACTCATTGGACATTAGCAATCGAAGAGGACTTGAGTAAAAATTGAATTTTATGAAATGAAATATTATAGCTATTGATCTCATATTATCATTCCATAAGGTTAAAAATTGGTTAGAAAATATGAATGCAATGAACAATTTACCAAAAATGATTAACATTGAGAGCTTGCCTCATCAGCGACAACCGCATCAGGCAATATCAGGATTTTTATTTCGATCTAATTCAGAACGTTACCAAAGAACTCCTAAATGTGCTAGATGCAGAAATCATGGTGTTGTGTCGGCCCTGAAAGGTCACAAAAGATATTGCCGATGGAGAGATTGCGTTTGTGCAAAATGTACATTGATAGCAGAAAGGCAGCGTGTCATGGCAGCACAGGTAACTTTTGCTTTGTCTTTACTTTATTGACTTTAGAAGTCTTCCCATTTTCACAAGTCGCAGATTCTTACATCAAATTTTCATAATCTCGTAGAACTTAAAAATGAGGGTATCTGTGTTTAGCTCAATCTTATAAGCCTTAAGGCTAATTGTGAATCATTTTTTATGTACAATTGTCTTGTTTGTTTACACAAAGTAACAAATTCAAGGAATAATGTAAAGAATGAATATTTTTATTTTAATTTATTATTTATTTTGTTTTTTTTACTCATAAAAAAGTAATGAACCGATAAGTGAAGCTCCTTTCACGGGCTTTGGTTGGTCCAAATACTTTAAATTTAAGTCGAAATGAGGTATAGTGAATTTTGCACACTCTAAAAAGTGTGTGCAAAGATATTTTTTAATTCTGTTTGCAAGAAACTAGGATTTTCTGACGCTTTTGTGCAAAGACTCCTGGGTGAATCAACTTCCTCGCGGACTAGTTGCAAACGATACTTTCTAACCCTGCTTGCGAGAAACTAGGGATTTTGACGATTTAAGGTTAGAAAACCCGTGTTTCGCGCACGCAGTGTTAAACAAGGTATTTTCCGCTATACTATTGCGTAAATTACTATTTTGCGCAAACTTTTTAGTGCGTAAGAAGCGTTTTTGAATACTGTTGTGTTGTAAAATTTCTGGTTTTTTGAGAAACATCATGCTTGTTATTTATGCACAAAATTTTGTATCCAACACGTGCCCAGCTTTTTTCGCATAGTTTGTGCAAAACAAGCCACTCGTGCTGACACTCCTGGCCGGCGTAGCTGATACTCATGTCTTTTTTGTTTGCAATCATACTGACTATCACCAGCCCTCGTGCATTCTAAGACGTGTGCGCTAAGACGCCTTTTAGGCACTTGTTACGACAGCAGCAGAAGCAGATAACAAATTTTATAAATCTGTTTTCTCAGCAGTTCGCTATCCCACGGATATAGAACGCGAGGCTTAAACAAGTTCAAATGCAATTATTTTTAGTTTTTAATGTTTTATTATTTGCTGTTAACGTTTTACTTCTGGTGGTTACGATCTCTACTTATCTCTGCTTATAAAAAAGAGATGGACCTCAAAGTGAAGCATCGTCAAACGACGTCTGATTGGCTGACACTGATGACGACACCTGACGTGAACCGACTCGATACGAGCGCCTGCGTTGCTAACTGTCTTAACTTTGACGCGCGCGAAGCGCGTTTGAAACGTACCATTTCTAAATTATTTCTGAATCTTTAACTAACCACAAAACACGACTGAAAAAATTGACGCGCACGAAGCGCGTTTAAAACTCATTACTATTTGTGAATCTTAAATTAACCTCAAACCCCGAATAAAAAGTTGATACGCGCGAAGCGCGTTTAAAACATCTAGTGAAATTAAAAATGTTCATTCCAAAAGTTTAGCAGTACTGTTTTAAACATATATGTAACCGTTTCCTTTTGCAGGTGGCATTAAGAAGGCAGCAAGCACAAGAAGAAAATGAATCTCAAGATATTTCAATGCAATTTCCATACGCAGGTATTCCTTGTTTACCGGAGTCAATCACATTCAATCAAACTTCTACAGAAAGTAAGAATCAAATAATTGTTGTAAAAAATAATAATTTGATTTACAAAACTCACGGTGGTATACGTTCCGAGCAAACCATATGTGCAACCGTATTTTTTCACATGAGCAGTAGAAACATCTTTGTCATAAACATTACCATGAAATTCATTTCCTTATTTGTAAATTATTGGTGAAGATACATTAAAATCAACGGTATAAGAATTCCTCGACCTCGTTGATATCATGATTTCAGTTTTCATTTTGAAGTATAGACCCTTTTGACAATAATTAGTCGGAATTACTTTTGAAAAATGTCTTCCAAGGCTCGAAAAATCGACTACAACTTGTTTTCGCTTGTCATATTTTTAAATGGTTAAGGTCGCGAGTTCGGGCAAAATGCTCGGCCCCATAAGTTGCTCTCGGTTATTGGTTTTATGAAAGACTCGAAAAGGGGTTTTTCGAAGATGAGTACATAGCCGTCAGTTCCATCAAAACAATTAATGTTGGAGTACTATATAAGTCATTGTATGATTCAACTTAGTAGTATGTTGTTTCAATGGACCATTGGCCATAAACGCAACCACAAGCTAAATTTAAAATCAACTTTTACTATTGAAGATTAAACGATAATCAGCGCCCTCTGTAAATTCAATGCGGCCGTCCCATAAGAACCATCGAGCCGCGCGAAAATTGTTTTAGTCGAGTTACAACTATCGGGAAAAAAAGGAACGTTGTGGAGTGTATGAAATCAAATTAGTTGAGTTGTAACTGATTTAACGTAACGGTTGAAATAACTATTTTACAATATTTTGAAAATCTAAGAACCTTTATAGATTGATATAAAACTTATGCTACTTAAAAAATTATTGCCGAATTATAGTATCCATTAATATTAAGATGCAATATACTTAATTTATGTTCTAAATTTAGCCTCGTAATAGCAAATTAATTTTTGATAAAATTTATGCACGTAAGACATATTCTTAAGAAGATACATAAAGTTACAATATTTTTCAGCTGCTCCAAAAACGGTAAAATGTTTATTAGAGAGTGTTTCTGAAGAAGCTAATATCAACACTGATAATGCAGACGATGAAAGAGAAAAATATCAAAATTTGGCTCGATCTCGATCATCTTCTCGCTCTTCAACATGCTCCAAATCTAGCATTAAATCTAACTTAAAAGCAATGGATATTTCAAAAAAGTATAAAAAAAAATTTAATAATTTTTTGAGAAAAAATAAAAGTGAAATTCACGGTATCAACCGTCAAAATCATGAAAATGAAGCTTATGCTTCGGTTAATTCAATGCCGAATGCGACAGTTTTATCAATTGCTGACGCGGCATCAGATGATATGAGTAAACCAAAAAACTTGAGTATACGTAAATTAGATGAACCATTCGGACCGCAAAAAATAAAAAATAACATAGATAATCAAGAAATTGGTAATTTGTCTCCAATTGACCGATCTGTAAGTAAAGAATTTAAAATAGCTATTTATAATTATTTAATTAATAACTAATTAAATTGTCACATTTAATTGATTTCCATAATTATCGTGTGTTTCAAATTTAACAGTATAACAACGTAACTTCAAATATATCGTCTAATGTTCATTTTCTCGCATGTAGTTTTACAGTTAAGGTGATGCCGAAGCCCTAATTTTGACCGACCGAGCATTAAAAATGTAAATTGAAATAACTGTTTTACTAGACCGATTTTCGAAAAACGGCTCTGTGGAGCCCTCCGTACTGTAGCTGTGAATAACTGCACCAATTTCAGCCAATTTCATCGGGTAGTTTTTCCGGAAAAAAGGATCGAAATTTTTTATTACTGTTTGCAGGATAAAAGCTGTTTTTCGAAAATCAGCCTGGAAAAAAAGTTACGAAAATATACATTTTCTGTGCTCGGCCGGTAAAAATTGTGGCCAAGGCATCACCTTAACGTGGGTAACAGGAAAAATTTATATTTTATCGAATATTTATCAAACCTATGGAGAGATATCAACGAAACTTTTTGTAATAGATTAAAAATACTTCAGCTGTATGTGAAACTTTTCAGAATGTCACTTCATTAGCTATTAATTAGTGAAAATCTGAAAAATAAAACAAAAGTTTAGAAAATTGAGATTTTTTGGCTGATTAAGTAGTATATCGAGGATTTTAACCAAGAGTTGCCTGTTTCATACATATTTTAATGTAAATTTGTGATTTAGTTGCAAAACAGTGCTTATTCATAAGTCAAGTTTTGACAAAATGTTTTTATTTCATTGTAGAGTGACCTTAAGACATTGTGAGATACTACCTTAAGACGATGCCTAGGCCACAATTTTTACCGACTGAACACAGAAAATGCATGTTTTCATAACTTTTTTTCAGGCTGATTTTCAAAAAACGACTTTGTGGAGCCCTTTGTATTGTTGCTGTGAATAACTGAACTAAATTTCAGCCAATTTAATCGGGTAGTTTTCTCGGAAAACAGGATCGAAATTTTCGACTACTGTTTGCAGGATAAAAAATTTTGATCCTGTTTTCCGGGACTCGTGAAATTGGCTGAAATTTGGTCCAGCTGTTCACAGCAATAATACGGAGGGCTCCACAGAGCCGTTTTTCGAAAATCGGTCTAGAAAAAAAGTTAGGGGCCTTCCATTAATTACGTAAGGGTTTTTTTCGATTTTTCCAAACCACCCCCCGTCACGTAAGTGGTTTTCCTATCCCTCACAACATGGTGAATAAGGAATTTTGATACCCACCTCCCCCCCAAAGACCCTTACGTAATCAATGGAAGGCCCCTTATTTAAATTTACATTTTTAGAGTTCCATCGGTAAAAAATGAGGCGTCGGCACCACCTTAACTAAGATTAAGGGGATATAGAAGCCAGTCAAAATATCAAAATTTCAATTAAGTTTTCTGAAACTTCTACTGACTATTTTGCCAAAAAGCTGTATGGCGACCTTCATTTTGATGTTCTTAACACTCGCTAAACTGAAAATATATAATCGTCCACAGCATTAATTATCGTAGTGATCATTACTAAAGCGCTATATTCGAGCGGTTCTAGTACGCATCGTTATTATTACTGATTAGTAAAGTTGGCCTTTCAGTCAGTTGAATAAAAATGAGATCTAATATATCTAGTCCATCACAATAGTGTATAAACCAAAAAATCTAGTAGCAGTTGCTATTGCCATCAGTCGCTGGGTTTACTATAGCATTCTTAGACTGTACTATTTGATATTTTCCGTGTAGTAGAATCAGTGTTTTTTCAAAAACCCGAATTAAAATTGCCTAGTGAAACTCGGAATTTCAAATCACCTTGCTGGACTAGCCCAAGTCGACCATATCTCGTGTCGAATACAGCTCAACTTCGACAACTGATCACTGAAAATTTGCCGTGAAATAGGAATACTTACGTAGTTTAAAGTACTCAGATGTGTTTCGAGCGCGGTTTATGATTTTTGAAATTTTTTATTAGGAAAAGTGCAAGGAGCGCAGGTTTCACTTTTTGGAAAATCGTCATAACCGAAAAAGTGTAAGACACACTTTTTCAGTACACTTTTTCTACTGTGATGATTTTCCAAAAAGTGTAATCTGTGCTTAAAACACTCTTGAAAGTGTAAATTGAGCTTCTTTAACTTTTTCCAAATAAAAACTTTCAAAAAGTATAGTCCGCGCGCGAAACACTTTTGAATAGTGTAAACTGTGCACGTGTTACTGTTTCACAGCAAATTTTATACTTTTGGGTTTTCAGTGTATCGCTGTTTGGCGTTTCAGTCTGACCACCATCGCTACTGTCCCGACCTCGAGAAGGACATCCAGGACATCGTCGTGGAAAAGACTAGTCTGTGTAAACATAAGTACTCTACAAACGTTACACTCACTACACTGTCGAGCCATCGCGGTCATTCCAGTAATTTCAATCGCGTAGAAAATTAATTTAGATCTTTGTCGTGGACTCGTGTCCCTAGCATTTAACATTCAGAATCTGCATGCGATACGGGAAGTGGCGTCCTGAGCTAGTATTTGTAACTTTTTATTACTTTGCTACCATAATACAATGCTACATCTTTTCCTACTACAAATAACCTTGTTCAATCATATATTTATTGCAACCCATTCCGAAATATCCTCGCAAACTGCAGTTGGTTTCACTCACGTTGTTTGCTGAACCAATCAATTGACTCATCAGTAGACAAGCCCTCATAGTCAGTATCAATACTGGGTAGTCATCACAACGGCGGTTGTTTCAAAATATTATAAAAATTGCCAGAAGTAACAAGAGAATCAAGTAAGGAACACGATGATTGCATATTTTGAAAAATTCAAATAGGTTTTCAGTTTTGATTGAATCTTTGATATAGGCTATAGATAAGATCTGATAATACATTCTTCCTAACTTGCCTAAAGTCCCTAAGCTTCATTTGATATTTTTCAGCATTGAATAACTAAGATCATGCACTATTGCACGTTTATATACCATGTTTCGAACGTCACGTATACCATGTTAACGAAATTTAAAAGTGTATCTCGATCTGAATGATATAAAATATATTCAATTTTTAAAAGAACTTAAAACTACTATTGCATTAATTGTATTTTTTTTACAGATGTCAGTTTCCATCAATAATATTGCTACTCATACTTCATTTTATGGCATATCGTCAGGATCATACTACTATTCTCCAGTCATTCACAAGTCACCGAGCAATCCAATCGTCCACATGCAAGAAGATAATAATTATAGTGAGCTATCATCAAGCGTATCAGTCAATTGTTTTCAACATAAACACCGATCACCTATTGACGTTTTACTCAAAGTATTTCCAACTAAAAAGCGTTACGAAATAGAAAATATATTACTTTGCAATGAAGGTAAAAAATAATGAATATATAGATCATGAAGCATGGCTCGTTTAATGTAGTACACATTGAAAGAGTTCCAAAGCCAAAATTGTAGATCCTCCCATTTCTCTCCTCCCCCCCCCCCCTCCACAAATGTGTATTTTCTACTGATGGAAAAACTTTAAAAAATTTATGAAGGTACATTTTAACAATTCAAAAAAGCTTGAATTTTTTCTGATTTTTTAAGTGCTGTTCAGATAAAATCATTAAAAATGTTGGTATTCTATATAGGGTAATAAGATGCGATAACCAATCTGAACTTTTGTTCTGTTTTTTATCTCATTGAAAAATATAACTTCAAATTTTTCAGATTTTTTTGGCTTCAGTAACACACCTTCTGAAGCAAAAAATATTTTTTCATACCAGTGGCCCGAAAGTGACTACTTCTCGGCCGCTGCGCAAAACGGGAAGAGCTATTTTTGGGCTATGGTATATGAAAAATAGTATACAGGCCTATGCCACGAAAAAAGAAAGCCTTATGTCACGTGTTTACTAATTATACGTACCCTGTAACTTTTCTGTTTTTTGCGGCCTAGGACATTAATATATTATGCATAGCACAAGAGTCTAATACTAGCGGCAAAGTTGCGATTTTTAGGTTAGAGCGCAATAAAATGTAGTACGATCCTCGGGCCGTATAGGGGACATTTTCCTGCGCAGCTGTTAGAACCCTCGCTGCGCTCCACGCCCTGACGTCAAGTGTTACTTATAGCCCTTGTATCGTAAAGTACTAGTGAAGTTTCGTTGCCCCTTGCATAAAGTACTATAAGTGCTTATAAGACGGGTCAATACTAAAATGCGCTTTAGCTAGTTTCTTATAAATGACATCATAATGTTTTTTTTTTCAATTTTTAATGCTTTTTAAAATATAGTACAATTCACAAAATTATCCTAAAAAAGGCAAGTTTTCTGAAAAAAGCTAATTGAAAAAAACAATACTTGCTTCCCCAACGGAAATTTTTCTCATGATAAAGTTTTATAAAGTCTTAAAAAGTCTTTATAAGTCTTATAAATGTACGAAATTCGTACAGCTGATCAATCATTTTAAAGATTTAATAAGAGTTTTAAAAAATTCATAAAACTTTGTGGAAACTCGATTTTTTGGCGAAAGTGTTAAGTTTTTTTTTCATTTATTTTTTTTTAATGTATTGTTCATATGGTTGCCTATATAGTTTTTTCACCATGATTTTTGGTGAGCGCTGATACTAATCAAAAACGGTTTAAAACTATTAAAAACTCTTATCAACACTTGATTACTCTTCGAAACTCTGTATAACTCTTTAAAACAATTAAAATTACTTGTAACAATTTTTTCAATTTTTTTTCTGAACATTTTAGAAACCCAATATCAGGTTTCACATAAATTTATAAAAAAATGTAAATCAATTGAAACTCTTATAAAGTTTTATTAAATCTTGAAATCATGGTACGAAATCCGGACATTTATAAGAATTTTAAAGACTTATTCAGACTTTTAAAGAGTTTTTACGAGTTTTTGAGAGTTTCTAAAGACTTAATGCGGCTATTACGTCGTGAGACGCGACATTTAATAATATTGTTCTTATTCTGGCTGGGGAGTATGAAGAATTATAAAAGATACACCTGTCGTAGCCCACAATTACAATGGCAGACGAGTACAGATTGATTAACCGGTACTTATATCTAATTACATGCGTTCTATCTACTTGAACTACTTAACTTACTGCTGGTGACTCTCTGGTGTGAACGATGTCCCACTGGTTCCCTGCTGAATGTGGTGGATGCTCAATGACCGCTCGTCTCAAATGGCCAGGATCCTCAAATTTCCAAGGCTAGGAACAGGCTGTACGACCACTCTCGACACTCGCTATCGCGCACAGATATCGCTGACTTTATAACAAATGTATAAGTTGCTTTAACAAGGTTCTTGCACTGACGCTCAGTTGTCTAAGTTTTCGATAAAATTTTAATACAAGTCCGAATACTATAAATTCGCGGTACAAAGTGAGATGAGCTCCGCACACCGAATAAGACGATAGTCGAATCGCGCCGAGGCCTTCGCGGGCCCTCAATATATACCCTGAGTTTCTACATAGTTTTTTGGGGGAGATGAACGCTCTGCACTTGCTCGTACTCGAGAATCTGACGACATATATTTTTATTCGCTAGCAGATTAAGTTCGTTGCTCTTCAAGTTAAATTGACAACGCTTTATCTCAGAATTGGTCTCTATCGATCTATTTAGATTTTGGATCTGTTTTATATCTTAGAGGAGGTGTTCAATTTACAAGTATTTTTCACTTGATTTCTCCAATTTTTATAGCTTTGTTTTTCATGTCATCTGATCCCCTAGTTCGAGCTAGCGCAGTCGCTCGCTGAGCGATTTCTCGCGCTTGCTGTTATTTTTGAAATGCTCTTTCTAGAATTATTTTTATTTTTCGTTTTATAATTATTTATTTATAATAAGTCACGAAGGACGTGACACGGCGATCAATTTCCGTAGGAGTTAATGAAAGTTTTTTGAATCTTAATTTATATAACATTACATTTTTATTCTATTTTGATTTCAGGTGATGTCATAGCTACTATGGAACATCTTATTTTTGGCAGTACTTTAAGTCCAGAATTTGAATATCCTTCATGGTGTAGTTCACCTCCAACATTACGTCAAGAATTTCCTAATGCCATAAACGGAAATACTACATTGAAATCGAATAATTTGTACTGTCCTGAAGTTCCACTTACAAGACATCGATTTTTAGCAGCTCCATATTCTGGTACAGGTTATTTACCAACAGTTATACGATCACAAACTCAAACCAGTGAAATTGATCACGAGAAAAGTTCTTTCGATATCGATGACGAACATAGTAATAAATCTGAATAAATACCATTAATCACTTGAATATTTAATCTTTTTAACATAAATTCATGTGTAGAGTTTTAGTATTCTCCAAAAATACTCAAATTAGTAATTTATCACAGATACAGTTATTAAAGCACATGAAAAATCTTCAGTTAAAGACTATTTTACAGAAGAATATATCATACTACTTATGTATCTTCAAATGAAAGATGTAAATTTATTACGTTTTCTCTCTGTGATTTTTTTGGTTCTTTTCTCAATTTCGCTTGAAACTTTATTGTTGCATGTTGGCTTTTACTGTAAAAAATAAACTAACTACATATATGGTAACAGCCGTAAATATTCGTATTTATTGAGCTACTTTTGTCCGAATTTTTTTTCAGTATTAAGATATTTCATTTGTTTTCATACAGTGATGAGAGCACTTAAGTAGCATAAAATTTATAGTATTTTTACTTCTTCCGTAACATATTGTCTTGTACCAAATTAGTTTTGGGATCAAGGGATATTGGAACATTCTATTGACATATTCGAAGAGTATTAAAATTCTAATGTCTGTATGCGTGTTACTGTAAATTTTTTCGATCGTACATAAATCGGACATAAGTAGTAGGGCGGCTGTCAAAAAATGATCATTCAAAATCATGCGTTCTATAGGGAATTTATTAATTATTAACATCATTTCAGTGAAGTTTGCTAAATCTAATTGAATTACTTCTTGATCTATCTTAGCTAATATGTCCTCATTTACCGCGAAGAGATAGGAGTTCACGGATAAAATTAACTTTTTCTGTCATTAATTTTACTTCGCCATTTATTAAAAATTCAATGTTTCACAAACGATGACAAGAGGAAACATAGGCTAAGACCAAAATTGAAAATATGACATCAGTCATTAATATTGTCCCCAATGTTGATCGCTGAAAGCTTTAGTTAAGTGGATGATACATACTTATTCACTCTTGTTAGATATCGGTTGCGCTAACGTATTTAATAGGCTTGTAGCATATAAAGTTTCGTTAAGTTTTACTTATTCTCTATTAAAACTAGGGTTTTTCTAACTGCCTCGCAGTCAGTGGATTTATACAAAAAATTTGATTAGGCTTTGACGTCCAAAACTAAAATCCAGTTCAAAATTGAGAATCTAACATTAGATTGGATGTCACGATTTGTGTGTAAAAATGTGATGCGTTTTTTTATGGTCATGAACTAAATAGACCTTGCATTGGAGTCAGTCCTTACACATTTATTCACCCATCGACATCGTCACTGGTAGTCAAATAATCTTTTATCGTCTCAACGACGAGTGACATTCAAGGAAATGCAATGAATAGGTACATTCCTATACATAGATGATGCAGCGATATTTACCAATACAAATTGTAAAAATAAGTAAATAAAAACGCGCGATAAAACTTGAGGTACATAAAAGAGCGTTACTTAGGCTAGCTGTCATAAAATCAGTGCTTTAGAATCTTTCCACGCGATGCTTGGAGTTTCGAATTTTAAATCTGCAAACTCTTAAGCTGGGCATTGCCATAATTCGTAAATGAAAAGACTATCATCGGTCTACCCGTGCTATTAGAAAATTGTTACTTTTTAGTAAAAGATTGTATAGCATGGAAGTAGATAAAATGTTTTTAAGTTGCAATACATTTAAGAGTTCAATAAATCATCAAATTCAGCATAATAAAAACAGGAAATAATTTATTTATATACCCAAATCACACATATTATTCAATCAAATAAAGAGTTTGAAATATTTAATAGAAAAAAAAAATTATTGAGCTTTGCTTTAAAATACAGATACAGTAATTTTAGCAGACCCCCTGAGGCGTGAGGAAAGTCTTGTAGCTTGTGCTGAGTGTTGGACATTTGTAGACCCGTAAAGTCAGAATGCATTGGGCGTGTGTGAGCCCGTAGATTCAAAAGTGATGGGCTTGTGGTAGCCCTGTAAACTTGCTGGTGGACTGGACCAGGATGTGATGTTCTGTGTGGGCTTGTGATTGCACTCGAAAATTTTTCTCGTCAGACGCCTTAAACAACGACGGCCACGTCAGTGAGAACCAACAGCAGGCGCCGATCAAACAAGATTAGATTAAGATACTTGGGCCGGCGTATTTTTTTTTTATCGAGGAAGGAAATCCATTTACGGATTCAACATGCGATGGTTGCATGGGTTGGACCGACGTATGAGTGTATGTGTGTGTGTATGTGTGTGTGTGTGTGTGGCGGAGCGCGAGAGTGTGATATGAATGAGAATGCGCCAGCCGAGCTGTGATTGGCGCGAGTAATGTGGGCACGCAAGTCTGAAGTTTAACGTAAATCGCTGAGAAGGCGACGTGACGCAAACAGTGGATCCCGTCGAGTATGTAACAAATAACGAGTAGTGTTTTGCTAAGACACGTAAGGTTCATTTTTAGGTACACGAGGTCCCAAAACGGAGTGAAGAATTCACCAATAGCTGTTTAACTCAGTGAGAAGTCCGAATCTCCTCTCAAGATTTGGTAAGACAGCTGTGCTAAATAGACTAGTAGTTACTTATAACATTATATTCATTAATAATTATGGAGTATATTCAAAGATTATCATCATTTTATTTAATTTGTTTATTAGTAACATATCACATAGCTTATATGAGCTAATTCTATTAAGGAGCATATGATTTTACTGACGGGAAATAGTAAAAAATGATATACATTTGAAATAGTTAACGATAAAATTAACTTACATTAATTTATGATTTATAAAATATAATTCGATACAAAAACCCTAAATTTCTCATATTGACTATCAATGTGAGTCGTAAAATATCCAAATAACGGATATTAGGAATAATATTGTCCATGTCACGCCATGCCACTGTTGAACAATCTGATTGAGGAAACAACGCCGGCGACGGAACATTCTCCTGCATGTAAAGCCATATGCAATCCTTTATTAAAATTGCTACCTACAAAAACATATTCTGAATTAAAAGATCTGTTAACTTACATTCCGAAGAATTTTTAAGAAACCAGTCAAACAAGTCAAATAAAATAAAGCACCTTTAGGTTTAGGGGAAAAGTTTCGTAGGATATTGTTGCGTAAACTCAATGAAAGAATATAAAGTCAAAATATAAATGAGGACGATATTATTTTAAAATAAAAATTTATAACGTGAGTTTCATGCGTTAGGAAAACCTACACTTGCATTAGAGGTATTAATTTTTAATTGAATAAAAAATACTACGTTTTTCGGATCTGAAGTATCTATGAATCGTAAGTGAGTAACGCAATATCATAATGCAGATGTTAACTATGCAAATCTATCAAGAAATAAATTGTTCTACTTACTTGATAAGTCTTTAGTTGATCGATGAAATCAATAATTCGATTTAACGGTGTGGGTAAAAATTGTCCAAGTGACATAACATTGATTGCCATTGCCATTTTTTTTGTATCATTATACGTTAATTGAGTTGCTAAGATTGCCCTTAAAAGAACAGAACAATATGCAACTGCAGGTCTGTACCAAGCTATTAATTGCAATATCCTCCATAATATAGGGTAGTCTTTAAAAAGTCTTTGAATTTTTAAATCTCTTTCTACAGTCACCTAATTAAAATAAATTTATTAACATTCGATTACGCTACACATAAAATTATATATCAAATAGAATCAAATATTTACTTTGGTGAATTCTTCATCTGGCCAAGGTAGACCATTATACATTACGTCCGGCGATACTAGTTCTACTAGCAACAAACTAACAGATGTAAATGGGTGATAACCAGTATCATGTGGGTTGAATTGATTCATTGACGATACCTATAATTAATAGCATATTTTAAATTTAGAAAGTTATAGCATTAAATTATAATATTATAATCACTTGGACTCAGGCAAGCGATTTTTTAGTGTATGAAAAATTTCAACTTTATGAGCCATAATTATGTTGATTTCGGTCTTTTGGAGATCGGTATTCCAGCCCAAAATTCAAATTTTCGGCTGAGGTATGGATCTCCTTACACCAAATAAAAATAATTTCACGATGAAGATTTATATGTACAAAACTAAGAGTAATGAAAAATCAATGAGAAAATTGAGTTATAGATGTTTTCAACATTGACAATAATATGATATTATGCTGTAAAATACCTAAATTCGATGAGACGTAAGATTGTTCTGTGATCTAAAGAAATAGTTCGAAAGAATTGTAAATGAAACTGTATTTTTAAATTATTATTTTATGTTAATTTTAATTTGCATTATCGTATCAATTGTTTCTTCGATTCCTAATAGTAACAGTTAAATTTCCTGATGGTTGGAGAGGGTTTCAGTTTGACTATCTTGTCAAGGCTGTTAATAGAGTTTTGAACAAGATGGAAAAGAACAATAGGGTTTGATTTCTATGGGTTCCGCGTAGTACCAGTGTCCTACAAAATGCGACTTTAAAACTTAAAAACTACAAATTTTGCGTACGGGTCTGACTTTTTCTTAGAAATTGCCAATTGCTAACATGAAGATGTTTTTGGTACTGTCGGTGATGTTAGGGGCTACAGATAGGCAACATCTATCTTGAGAGTTAACTCCGGTAAAAACTGTACCAAAAAAGATGTTTCACTTAAAAAACATGAATCAATACAAAACAATTATAATGACTCGATATGGATAACTTCATGAAGATGAAGATTCAAAGAAAACCACGCCCAGAGAAAATGTTGTGCACGACAATTTCGTCACCGCATTCAACTTTCTGGACGCTAGATGTCTATCTAGCGATACATCGAGGTTCCTGCAAGTGGCTAAAAATTTCTCTCGATTACTATATAAGAGATCATGCTCGCATCAGTTGTCAGTCTCCAATTTTATACACCACACTCAGATGCTGCTGTCAAAAAGAAACCTCAAAAGAAGACTGCCCTCGTGTGTTAATCATGCGATTTTATCGAGAGCAGTAATCTAAATTACTGATAAGAGGTGGTGGTATAAAGTTGGAGACTTTTTGTAATCCGTCGCGAGCATATATTTCTGGAGAAAACTCTCATGGGGTAAACGGTCCAGTGAATGGCTGAATTGTTTTTTTTCAATTTTTAAATATGTAGGAAAATTTAATGATAGCAATTGAATAAAAACTAAATTGATCATCGCGTAGCTGATTGAATGTCCTATAGATTAAAAATATTGAAAAATTATTTCAACATCGTTAATATTATTAAAAATTTCCCGAATCACCTGGAAAACGTCAGTTAATGACTACTTCCAAAAAATATTTCTAGTAAATGACCGATATACTCTCGTCCAATTTTTTATCAAAATTAAACTCTACCCTTTGTTTAGATAATCAAATACGTATTGACGACACATACGTATTGTCTGATATGCAAAAGCAAGAGAGAGAAAGACCACTCAACGTAGTCAAGTTCGTAAGCTATATGCTGACTGCCTTTGCTTATGCTCTTACGTTGCCTCATGTGTATATGGGGCGAATCACGATAGATGCCCCAGCGGTGCGCGCGAGTGCACAAAACAGCCAAATCACACAGTTTTTGACTCGCTGTACGGACTTCATATGCTAATAACATAACTAAACAAACATGGGTAAGTGATTTCGATGTGTTTTTTCTTCAGCTTTTCAGTGGTGAGGTCAAAAATGCAAAAATCAGCCTCCATAACCTCAAAAAATGGACTTGAACATAAAACACGCTGTATCTTTATTGGCGCCAGGTTTAGAGTTTTTTGATCTCACCACTGAAAAGCTGAGGAAAAAACACATCGAAATCACTTATTCGTGTTTATTTCTAGATAGCATATGAAGTCCGTACAGCGAGTCAAAACACTGCGTGATTTGGCTGTTTTGCGCACTCGTGCACACCGCTGGGGCATCTATCGTAATTCGCCCCATATGTAAACACAGTCATGCGCGCGTGCGAGAGCGAGAGAGAAAGAGATACGCGCGTAAAATCTCGGCAGCGGGCAGTAGCAGAAAGCAGTTCTATGCAGCTGGCATAGCAGCCAATCACCGCGCGCAGCGCAAACCGACTCTGTATAGGCACTTATACTACCAAAGTTGCGCTCGCTCGGACGCTTGTTTTTCACGGTTTTGTCCCTCATACCAAACGCCGATAAAGATGTTTCACATCAAAAGCAATGGTAGAGCCTATGCAAGATTCGTGATTCAAATGGTACTAAGCAAGTACATATCGTCGCTCCAGCGCAGGAAGGTATCTATTTCCAAGCTGTAGCAAGAAGGATACTTACTCGCGCGCAGAGGCAAAAAGGTATCTAACTCGAGCGCAGCGGCAAAAAGGTATCTAATTCGAGCGAGAAGCAAAAAAGTAGCTTATTCAAACGAAGTGGTAAGAAAGTTTTGACGCGCTGAATTTAGGTTGGCAACGCAGACGTAAATGATAAAATTTTGTTTCAATATTCAATATTAAACATTTAATTCAAACTTATGTAAAGCCGGTAACTTCTACTTTCCTCTCAGAACATACAAAGTTCTCCATAAGTGGCAAATTGAGTCGAAATCGCGGTGAGATTGATTTGTTTGCTCGCATTACAAATGAATGAAAATCATTACAGTAGCTCACTTGTTTTTCCTCTTTTTTGCTCTAATACAAAGCACAATTTTTTCATTTACGTCTGCGTTGCCAACCTAAATTCAGCGCGTCAAAACTTTCTTACCACTTCGTTTGAATAAGCTACTTTTTTGCTTCTCGCTCGAATTAGATACCTTTTTGCCGCTGCGCTCGAGTTAGATACCTTTTTGCCGCTGCGCTCGAGTTAGATACCTTTTTGCCTCTGCGCGCGAGTAAGTATCCTTCTTGCTACAGCTTGGAAATAGATACCTTCCTGCGCTGGGGCGACGATATAATACATGATCGGTAAGCATGAAAGCAAGAAGTGTATGCGGTGTGAAGACTCAGATAAGAGCCCACTATAGCTTCTCACTAACTGTAATTCGCTTATTGTGCTTCGATCGGCTACAGACACTGAGGAAAACGTATTTTAGTGTCTAGTCCACAATAAATCATAATGGACCCTGAGTTTCAGAGCTGGGAATCTTAGTACATTGAAAGTTAATGATAATAATAATTATTTTAAAATAAATTCGGGAATATTGTAGAGTTCATTCACATCAACATTCCAAGAAACGCATAGTTATTAAATAGATAAGTATGTTTGGAAGCACAAGCATAAGTAGAAATAGAAAGTATTAAAGTGCACAGCACTGCTCATGAAAAATTGATCAAGAAAGTTTTTTATCGAATAAAACAAAAAAGTATCATCCATTTTATATTAGAAAAAAACCTATTCTTAAACGGAAACTTCATATTTTTCAAAATATTTCAATTAAAAATGTATAATTGCAATCTCAATATTTCTAATTTTAAATAAAATACCTTGATCATATCAATTAATAATGTAGTTGTAAAGTCAGTATAGTTCTGAGATGAATTTGTTTGAGTTGCTAACAACCTGGGTCCACGTCCAATTATACCAGCATGGAAAACTGATGAATGTCTTTGTGCCAAAATTGCACCTGTACCCTGAAATTTTTTTTACAATTATGTTTACGAACTTTTAATTTCAAAATAAAAGTAATTTATAGCACTGCGAGGTTTAAGTTCACATTTAAGTCACGCTTTGCCGTGACTTAAGCTGCTCATTATTGCACCGCGACGCTATTACAAGCAGCTTAAATCAAGTCAAAGGGTACCGAAACTTGAACTTAGCACAGTCCTATAATAGTAATTTTCGATACAAGTGCCATAAGTAGCTGGGCCGAAAAGTGTCCCCTATGGCCCGAGTATCGAACAACGTTTTATAGTACTGTGCAAAGTTCACATTTATGCCCCCTTTTCCGATGCATAAGTCGCACTTTCTGGTAGCGCGAAGTGAGGTTAGCGCACGAGCGTATGCGAGTGTGATGCGAACGTAGCGGTGCCAGAATGTGCGACTTATGCCACCGAAAAGCGTGCCATAGATGTGAACTTATGCCACGCAGTGCTATAAAAAAGCATACGATACTTGTGACTCAAGACGCCGTGTAATAATGGGCGGCTTAAGTCACACGTATCATAATATAATATAAGTTAACAACCTGCTTATGATTGTAGTGCAACAATAACGGTTCTTGTTCATTTGGAATCGAATTTGGAACAAACCCTGAATAAGAAATTGGTTTATTCAGAATGCTAAGTTCGAATGTTTCCCTTAAGGCTAAAATTCGAACGAACTGAAAATGGTTTGATATTTGTTTGATTATCTGAGATAAAAGCTTATATCTTTTTATCTTAGCAAAACTTCCTACGAAAATATACAAGAAATCAAAGTTTTACTTTATTGATCAAAACAAAATAAAAACCGTGTGAAACATTTATGTAATACCTTCGTTGTTTATCGTTTCACTCAAATGGATCATAACTGATGCAACTAATTTGTAAATGAGAAGTGAATTAATCAAATATTCTTTGTTCATCATAATCCAGAGATGCAGTACTTTCACAATGCAGTTCTTAGTTTCGTAATTTTTCGATTCCATTAAATGTGCTAAAATTGATGTTAAATTTGCAAATACAGAACGACTGACACATTTTGATCGTAAACAATTAACTCTTGTAGAATATTCCCATCTAAAATGCAATAAAATAACAGTTAGAAGTTTTATATGTTACTTTCAAAGCTCAGACTCTGAGGATAAAAAATGTTCACTTTCAGTACACAATATAAACGCGTATCACTGAAATCTAAGAATGAAGCGAAAAATGTTGTGAAATTGATATCAAAACAATTGACATCAAAATAATATTTTTTTCGATTTTTCAGCTATATTGAAAATGTTTGCCGGTAATTTTGACCACTGAATATGTAATCGCAAGTGAATTAAGTTGAAAGTGAATAAATTAAACATAGGGACGAACATACTTACTCAAGTAGTATTAATAAATTATTATAAAGTTGTTCTATAGAAGCATTTGCTGTGGATGATGTATATTGTAACTCCCTTAAGGCTTGTTCAACAATTTTAGGGAAAAAGTCTTGATCCTTCAATAAATTAGCGCATAAATTTTTGTCAGAACTAATTGTCGGGCTTGTTACCAACCATATAAAAGCTGATAGGTGGGTTCGCGTTCGTGATTTTGACAATATTTGTGAACACGCTGCTATAATGAAGTTTGGATTTTGAAATCCAAGACTATTTAATATGCGTGCAGCCATTTTTGTTTTATACGGCTCATTACTGAGAAAAAGAGTTATAACTTCATTTAAATTCTGTTTTAGCATTTTGAAAAAGGGTAGACTATTTTTCTTTGCATCAGCTCGCCTCATGCACAATTCAATTTCTTCCACAGTAGATTCTAAAACTTCCGAACAAACGGAGATAACGAAATTACTTTCTTCATTCAATGGAACTTCCTCACTTTCCGGTATAGTCCCAGCAAGTATACTCAAAATTTGAAGGCCATCTCGTTCACAGTTTAAAATAAGTCGTTTACCCATATCAGTCATTGCTTCAATATTAGCATTCACTTGAATTTTCCAATTTTCAAATCGTGAAAATAACCTTAAGATCATTTCTGAATTTACTGAAAATAATACAAAAAATGTATTTTAAACTGATGTTATAAATAATACCATTTCACTCATGAAGTATTGCCTTATTTTTAAAGAATATTATAGCAATTTTCGATAAAAATACAATAATTTGCGGGTAAAAAATGTATGTTGACAAAAAAATTTGCATAATGAATATTTAAAATGTATATACTTTAAAATTGATGTGCTGATTAGGGTGGGCCGTTTTTAGGCTTTTTTCTAGAATTGATTTGTAACAGTGATTTTCTGTTAGTTCCATGTATAAAATGAAAGCTCGTTAAAGGCAGGTGCGTACAAATGATTCTTTCTGTCTCCTCAACGTCGATTAATATTTTTTTCGCTGTTTTTTGCTCAAAGTCGCCTTTTTTCACTCTGCCACGCGCCAAAAATGGAAAAATGATGTTTTGCGATTTTAAACTGCGTGATTCATCAACTTATAGGCTAATAAACATGTTTCAACCACCACCTGAGCTCAGAATTAAGATATGGAACAACGTAATTTGTATAAAGCCGGGATTTTGGCTGTTTTTGGCCCATTTTACCCGATTTTCGATTACATGGGTGAGGTCGATTTTTAAATTCAACACCATCGCACGCGGTCTCTTTCTTTTCTTTGAGATAAGTACTAACAAGAAAAATGTCCACTCAGGTGATTTTTAAAGCAGGAAAAATTTGGCGCGCTCGAAGAAAATCGGATTTTTATGAATTTCTTTAAAAAATGAATCGTTTCAATGTGTACCTTGAGTTTATTTATTGTGTTATCTCAATGCAAAGTGCATCGTCAAAAAGTACTCTTTTCAACGTAAAATTAAAAAAAAAAAAGAGTTCTCTACGATCATCTTAGCGTCCTGATGGTCGTTTTGAAGATGCAAAAAACGCAACCAAACGATCTATGTAGAGACAGCCTTAACGTGAACATAGCACAGTAGCATCAAATAGCACACGAATAGGGACTTTACTCTTTAACGCACAAAATAGTAACTTTGCGCACAAATTGATAAATTTAAAAACGTAGATACAAAAAATATTTTTTCTTGAAAATCCAAACCAAGGGATTTTCGAATGTATTGTTAAAGAATTTTATAATATTTAAAAAAAAATCAAAATGAATTTTCAGATAATTAAACATTATTATCAATAATTTAATAAATGAATAAAAAACTTGATTATTTTTAAAAAGGTCATCCGAAAACACCGAGATGCGTGCGATTTTGCTATAAAGCTTCAAAAAAACTTCACTACAATTTTTATAATTTTTTTGGTCTAAAAAAAGTTGTTAGAAAATAATCAATTTATCCTGATCCCGGTATCTATTTAGACTTGAGTTTTTGACGCGTAGTTATGATGGACAATATGTATAGAAAATTTGTTGTGATTGTCAAAAAGAGAACGGAATATATTTTTAAGGGATTATTTCGATCATATTTTGTGTTAATTCATGTTTTAAAAAAACTAAATAACTTACTTATCTGCACAATTGAATTTGCTACGGCTTCAAGAATAATGGGAGACAATGTTGCTAGCTGAATCAAATATGGAATAACAATGTCTTTATCTGATAAATCAGGTTTCGTGAGTGTATCGTTGATGCTCTTGTTGAAAATTTCAACTACTGATTTCTTTAAAATATTGAAATGATTACAAGATAAATAGTCAAGTACGTCTAATAACGAACCAGTTTGGTAACTTTTACTTAATTTGAAAACATCTCTAGATTTAGATAATTTTTTAAGACTACACGACAAAATTTGATTTATAACAATCGTTGGAAAACAATTACCAACGTGAGCCACTAACCATGAAATGTATGGATTGTCGGTTATAACTGAATAAATTAATTTTTCAATGCATAATTCTACAGAAGCAGTTGATAAGCTCTGAAGACTTTGAACCGCAAGATCAACAAGCATCCTACTAATTCCACACGACATCCAATACTGAAGAGCTGAATTCATTTTCATTGTCTGTTTTGAATCGATCAATTTAGAAAAGTCATACGATATTGTGCCTGGAAAAGAAAATTTATATGATTTTAATATTTAACTTTATGACATTATCCCTATATTTTTGAGTCAGATTATTTTGAGCAATAACGAATACATTAATTATGTAAATATTATAAGATTGAAACTTATATAAAAATATTTATAGCCGTAGGGAGCTTTTACTATCTGCACACTTTCAAAGGTCAGATAATTTATTGCTCTGAAAAAATCAACCAATTTTTTTTTACTGAGTTTATACCATTACCGCTGAGTTCTATTTATCACATGTATCATTTCTAATAAATATACCCATGATAAAAAAAGCGCCAGAAAGATGGAAAAATAAAAAGCAATGAAATCGACTGATTTTCATGATCATTCAATTTTTCTTGTCGAGCCAAAATACAATTATAATTATAGTTATACGATTTTTGAATTAATAATAGTTATTTATGCAGAAAGTGCCCAAAGGGCGTTTTTGTGCACAGTGTATGCACGAGTACTAGCTACGCCGGCACTATAAGAAACACGAGTGCCGGTTTTGCCGGCACAGCTTGAGAAGCTTGCTTTGCGCACGCTGTGCAGAAAAAGCTGTACACGTTGTTGCATAATAGTGAATTTATGCAACAAGTGCCCAAAAGGCATTTTTTGATACAGCGTGTGGAAATTTTGTTTTTCGCAGTCAGTAGGATGCTTCGAAAGTAAAAGATCCCGGTGCTCTGGCTACAGCGAAAAAACGAACTTTCCGCAGCTGTATCAAAAAATAGTATACTCATCTACTATTATACTATATTTACTATAGGCGTAATCTACTATTTGGGCACAAGTGTACGGAAAAATACACGAGTGTCGGCCAGTGCGCAAAAAGCTGGGCACGTGTTGCATACTAGTTATTTATGCAACAAGTGCCCAAAAGGCGTTTTTGGGCACGAATGTGCGGAAAAAGACAAGAGTGTCGGCCATGCCGGCACGAGCGGGTTTTTTTCCGCACACTGTGCGCAAAAAGCTGGGTAAGTGTTGCATACAAAATTTTATGCAATAGTAGGCGAAAAATACTTTCATTTAAGTGGGTCATTTTATCGCACACCCGTGTCCAAAATGAGGCATTTTACCGCACACCAGTGTCAAAATGAGGCATTTTAACACACACAAGTGTCCAAAAACGCTTTTCGCGCACTAAAAAATGTGCAAAAAATGACATTTTATTATTTAATAAATATTATAAATATGGTAAGAAGCTAAGTAATTATGAAAAACGAATAATATTAGAATATTTAATATAATAATATTCTTCTTTGTTTGTTTCAAAATAAGTAATTATATGTAAAAAACTGTCATACCTAATAAATCAAATGCCCAAGAAGATATCATTGATGACCAAGGTTTGGGATTTTCGTTTATGAATTTGCTAAGGATCTTATAAATCTCCATTATGCTTTCTTCCATGACAAAAATAACTTGTTTTTTCTGTAATTAATAGAGTGGTTGCAATAGAGAATATATTTTATATTCTTTTTTATTAAAAAAAAGTATATTATTGATTTTGAGTGATTGATTCTTTGAACTTTTATAATTTCGTAACTAACTTTATAGTGTTCGCACACATTATTGTAATTCATCATTCAACAGTAGATATATCTGTACTCGAGAGTATAAATTTTTGACTCTCATTTACTTTGAATTCTATAGTTTAAGTGCCTTCTATAAGAAAATACACTTTTAATTACCTTTTTTTCTACCAAAAATCTAAATTTATCTATATCACCCAAATTATACAGATAATTACGAATTTTTGGCAGTTAGAGAAAATATTACTAACAAAATCAATGAAGTCAACTTAAAACAGCTTCATAACAAATATTTTTTTCTTGTTTGAGTTTTTGTGAACAATTTTTTCATACTTTATATATTAAATATGTTCTCGCTTTATGGTTTTTGACATTTCATTTATCGTATAAATGCCATCAACTGGAGGAATTTCAAGAGCAAACCAATTGAGGTACTCTGAAAACCCTAAAGCGTTCTAAATCTCCGTTAGAAAAATGTTTAAAAATGTGTTATCTGCACAAGTATGATTTGTTTGAAGCAAATTTAACACTTTAGGGTTTCCAGTGTACAGCGCTAAGATGGTGCATACTTCTTGAAACAAATGTGCTAAACTATTACTATATAGAAACCTATGGGTTGAGATTACTTCACTTCTGTTGATTTCAGTGAAAAATCAACATTTTGGAAACATAATGAAAAAAATAGAAAAGGGAAGAAAATTACACTCAAAAATCAAAGAAAAAATGTTTCTATTTTACTTTAGGACATGATTATTTACCCTTGCATTATTTAAAATTTAATGTTATTTATTTTTTGAATATACACTTTCTATGAACCTTTTTTGTACACTTTTTAATGTTAAGTTTATTATTCATCTTGAACAGATAATATATATCAATCACTAAAATATTCAGTAATAAATACCTATAAAAAGAATATTACTTATGTAGAACACATACTAACAGCTAAACATTAGATAATTCTGTTTTATTCACATAATAATGGTAATTGCAATCCTGAAATTCTTCTGTACTTAAAGAAGAATTAAACGCATTAATTACAAATATCTAGAGTTGTTATTAATAATTCAAGAATAATGTTTTCATTAAATTGACAGTCCTATTTAGGTACTTACTGTAATTAAATTAAAATGTAGTATTTTATTTTAATATTTTTAATCAAAAATATTAAGACTTGAATTATGAAATTCTTAAATTTTTTCCCAATTTCAAAAGAAATCAAAATATTTACATGTCCTACAACTGTATCTAATCAGAGTTCAAAAATTGACATTCATTGTCATATCATGTCAGTCTTAGCTGTATTTACTGAACTTCTTTACTCAAAATTTATGATTAAAAGCAAAATATTTTACAATTAACATTTTTTACAACTGGAAATAGAAAAATCTAGTAAACACTTGCATGAAAATCAAAAATTTAAGTTTTAGAAAAATTTGTCTATGTTTAAATTCATTGACTTGATATTGATTTTAAATCTTAAATAAACATCTCTTATAATGAGATTGATATCTAAAACCAAAATATTGAAGCTAATAATTACAAAGTTTTAATTAACTTTTACAATCAAGCTAATACAACTAAAAAATGTCAAAAATTCATCTTACCTTATTGTCAGTAATCATGCATTTTATACCAGCATAAAAGATGGAATGGAAGTATTCAAGTACAGCTTCCTTTGTAGCAGGTACATTTTGGATGAGATGAACAGATACTTTAATGTTATCCATTGTTCTGGATTGGTTTGAAAAACAATCATAAGTGTCAAATAAGAAATCTTTCATATTAAAGTCTATAGTATCTGAAACAATATTTTCTGGTAACGAAGTCATTTTTGTGTCTTAGCGAAAAACTTGTGATAATTTCTACACGATTCTTGAATTTGTTTTTAATTTTTGTTGAAAGTAAACAATAGAACCAATGCAAAGGTTAGTAAGCACATTTCTTCTTTCTATTTAAAAACTGTTATGTATATCGTTGAAAGGACGCAGCCATCATGTTCTCTACGGCTGGCCGGGGGGACTATCCACAGCGCCTCTATGCTCTCATTGTAGGTGTATTTTTACTCATTTGGTCGTTTTGGTAATAAAGAATTTAAAATAACCAATGGAATGATGTGATTTTCAATACAAGCCTTAATGCTCAAAGTTCTTAGTTAAAAAAAAATTCTAATATTAAAATGAGATAAGTTTGTTTTAATTTGTAGGAATCGAACTCGGTGCCGTTATCAGTTGAACGAGTCCTATCACACACCTGCATTTACGTATTTTTACATTGATCTTTTGGAATTAATACGAAGTTCATAAAATATAGCTTTTAAAATTACCCATTCATTATGAATGAGCTTATTAAATTGTATTTAAAGCGATTGATTTTAACCATTTCTCCGCAGTTTTATTTTTATGGATATTCAGTAGTCACACGCAAATTAGATATGTCAAAATTCTACATTTCAGAACGAGCTTAATCGTGTCGCATGTTTAATCACATCATAATCTCTATTATTTGTCAATATCGTTTGTCATAACAAGAACTACATACATTTCTACCAGTGTGTATGAAGTCTTGAAATTAATTGAGGATAGATTTTTGAACGATAGTTAATGTTGAAATAGTTATTGTTTGAATAGTAATGAATCTTGTAACGAGTATTATTTCAATTAAAGAAATAAATGCCATTCTCTGAATTCGCGTATGTGCTGTAGTTCCTTCGTTTTATACAACTCGACGCGCAACAATGAGTGATAAATCATATAAAGATTTTCTGGTGAACTCGGAGAAATCGTCTACAATGAAAAACGATTATCTCCAAGAGTTAGGGCAAGCTTCAGCTTCAGTACCTATCCCTGGCAACTATCGGGACATACCATGTGTGTTTGACCAATTCTCACCATCTCCACTTGCAGAAGCATGTCCATGGAATACAAATAGGAAAGAATTGAGTTTTGAACATCCTGATTCAGCAGTTCTTTCATTAAAAATGGACGATGATGATGATATTTTCCAAGTAGATCAAGCTGATCTTATTCAAGGGCCAACCTTGGCTGAACTAAACTCGAATGAAGATACTTTACTTGGAGATCTCAATTTTGATGATTTGCTATTGCCTGATGAAAATATTCCATCAGATAACATAGATGTTTCGATTGATTTTCCTACTGCAAATACAATTCTATCTACAAATATAGTTAATGTTGCTCCTAACAGCTTACCACAAACTACTCATTTTCGTCGAGGTAGTCAATCGGGATCACTTTTAAGTATGTACTATTTTTTACGACATTTAAAATTTAAAAAAATGTTCCTTTTTCATTATGACGATAACTTCAAATTACATCTGGCAAATTTTGCTAGCTAGTCATTTTTCATCTGTAAATGAATAAATCAAGTCAAGTTTCTTTTCAATGTATAATTTTTAAGTAAACAATAATTCCTGAATAGAAATGGTAAAAATTTACAAAGAAAAAAAAATTTAGTAGCAGGGTAAATAATACATTGTTACACGTAATTAACAATGCGTAAACTAGTATGTGCAATCTTTGCTTACAAATAAGTAGTTAAGTTTACAAATAAATTTAACTTTTTTCAAAATATCAATTATAATTGTTGAAATAATTTTTGAATTCATTCTTAATTTTATTTATTCTATAACATAGGCATTTTCTTAAAAATGATGTTAATGTCAGGATAGCATTTGCTTCCCAATTAGCTTAGAATCTAGTATCCTTTAATCCTTCTAATTGTTATTAATAGTTTAATATGAGAGATCATTATCCTCCTATCATAGGTCCTATAAAAATATTTAGCAGTGCCAGTGGTTGGTAAAGACATTTTCATTGTTTAGAAGTCTTCAAAAACTTGGAAAAAATGTATACATATCCTTTGACTAACTTTTGTTAATATTTTTTCGTTAAAGCCATTAGTTGTGGAAATAAATACTCTCAAAGATTCAAAACGTCATCATAAAAAATGATTAAAAAATATTCAAATAAAGCTTAAAAATATTACGATTTTTTTTTCGAAAACGAACTGATGTAGCGAAGAAGTACGAAGATCAAAAGTCTAAGAAGTAGTCAAAGAATACATATGTATTTTCTTGTATTTTTAAAGACTTTTAAATTATGAAATAGTATATTATGATACGTGTGATTTAAGCAGGCCATTATTGCACGGTACGTGCAGTGGTAAGAATGGGCTACTTGAGTCATAAGTATCTTACGCTTTTTTATAGCTCTGTGCTAAATTCACGTTTAGGCCCCCTTTGGCGAGATATAAGGTGCTCATAATAGCGTCGCGGTGCAATAATGAGCAGATCATTTTATAATTTAATGGGTTACCTTGCCGATCGAGTTGGTGTTTTTTTTCGATGACTATCTTTAAATGCATGCTAAGTAGTATTTTTGTCCATGAAAATTTGTACAAGTAGTTAATTATATACTTAAAAAGTATACTGAAAAACTTTAGTTTTTTATCAACTTCTTTCCATTAAAAAAAAAATTACGAAAATCACGTCATTTTTAAGACGCTAGATGAGATCCTTCCCTTAAGAAAGTGAAGTCTAAAAAATATGCGAATAACTACCAAGTATACATGTAAATCTTAATGTCCTTTCAGAATCTGGCCTCAGATTTTTGAAAAAATGATCAGTTCAAAAGTTATACCTAGTTTTAAAAAAAGTCATTTTAAAAAAAAAGTTGTATTTTTCGACTTTTAACATGGCAATCATCTAAAATCGCGTATTGTGGAAATATCGTGGCCTCAAAATCTAAACAAAAATAATCGTTATTTGAATTGGTGAATAAAAAGTTTAAGCCCACAAAATGGCATCTGGAATTCGAATATATAAAAAAGATCTTCTGGAAATTCTAATTCTAAAACAAAACAATTTAGAATCGACCAAAAAATACCTGTGAGTTTAAAAATAATTGTCATCCGAAAATTCAAGAATCGCTCTAAAACGTCTGAAAAATTCACATATGTTCTTTGATCGATTCTAAGAAATTATTATTCTACACCTTTTTTTCGTAAACCGCTTCATTTTCGAGATAAAAAACACATTGTGTTTTTAATTGAATCTAGTAAAATCATTTTTCTATATAATTCATGTTGTGTTCATAATTATTAATTAAAATACTGTAACGCAACATTTCCAAAAATTCAATTAGTGCACTCCTTTTCTTTACTACCCATTATTTATAAAGTTCATTCATAATGACAATTTCTTATTTTCCCAACGTTTTTTGTAAAATTCTAAAATATCATGGAGCATCATGAGCAAATCACAGCGCTATTTAAGCTTAAAAAGTGCTTACCCAATAAGAAATTTTTTTAAAGCTTTATGATTGTAATACATTCTAAATTTTCAGGTGATTCTAGTAATGTGTTACCTAGCTGCCAGCCTGTAGGAAAACCGATGTATCAATCAGCTTTGCACGAACTGTTGATGAAACAACACGATGCATTCAGTAATAATTTTGGTGATGGCCAATTGGATGCAACCCTTACTCCTCCAACTCGATTTCAACAATCCCGACTATCTATGTCTGCACCTGCTCAAACTTTGTGTTTTGATCAGTTATGGGCTCACCGAGAACCACGACAACATTTACTGAGTACTGGCAGTTTGGGCATTCGTGAAACTGGTTCAACTAGCAGTATAAGTACGGGTGGTGCTTTAAGTCCAAATCTGTCAAGTCACATTGATCTTCCAAGCCACGATGAAGGATATGACGATAGTGATGATGATAGTGATCACTATGAAGATTATAGCAGTGATAATGGTTATTAATTATATTTACAACCATTAATTATTAATTTTACTGATTAATATATAGAAATATTGTACTACATAGTTTTATTCGTTTAATGTTCTCTAATTTGAAAATCATAAATTAACCGCTAATTTTGACTAGCGCTATATAACATTATATGCAACTTGCGTATGCATAATTTTTTAATGGAACTAGAAATAGTGACAATCGAACTAGTACCTTAACTCGTGCTGTCATTTCTTGTTTTGTGGAAAAAGCATATCCACGCTCGTTGCATAATAGTACTCTTTGCATTGTACAACTCAAGTTGCATACGATAATATAAAGCCTAAATAAAACTAGCGCCAAAGTTAAGATTTTCAAGTAAGAGTGCTATAAAGTATTCTAAAATAATTTTTTTGTCATATGTATTTTCAGAGTCAGGAGCTAGTGAAAACGAAGACATATTGCTGAGTTCAAAAAAACATAATGACGTACTTGCAAAAGAAAGTAAATCTAGAAAAGAAAAGTTTTTTTGGCAATATAATGTGCAGGCAAAAGGGCCAAAAGGGCAGAGACTTGTGGCTAGAGCTCGCCTCGAAAATCCACATGTTCTTCATCAGGCAACTGATCCAGTTTTTAGTCCTAATTGCTCTCTTCAGGGTATCAAACATAGTGGCAAAGCCAGAAAAGGAGATGGTAACGATCTTACACCAAATCCTCGTAAACTAAATAGCATCGGAAAAGAATTAGATAAACTAAACCGAATAATTAATGATATGACTCCGGTTTCGGAGTTACCATTCACAATTCGGCCAAAAACTCGTAAAGAAAAAAATAAATTAGCCTCGAGAGCATGCAGATTGAAAAAAAAGGCTCAACATGAAGCAAACAAAATTAAACTCTTTGGATTGGAACAAGAACACAGTTAAGTGAACATACATTTTATTTTGTATTTGTTATAATCAGCTTTTTGTGTAAAGTATTTTCCAAATCATTCATAATGTGAATGATGCAAATATAATTGGAAGCCTCGTTTAACATTGGTTAACGAAAACTGCGCATGATACGATAAGAAGGCAACTGATAGCTATTCAAACAAAGACCTTTTCAAAGAAAGTTTTGTAATGAGTCTTACAGCGTAACGCAATGTAGACAACCATATGAGTCGAAAAACATGCAAAAAAGGTCAAAAATAGGCCCAAAATAAGATTTTTAGACCTTTTTTGCATGTTTTTCGACACATATTGTTGTCTACATTGCGTTGCACTGGAAGACCCATTACAAAACATTATTATGCAGTAGTTGACATCTTTAGGAAGCTTTTTACATAGTTTTGGAAATGAAAGTCCGGTTCGAACTTGATTAGATTTCTTGTTTTTGGTTTTTTTCAAGTTTTTTCCACTTTCTTCTCTTCTTGATAGCTCCAATCACTTTGGCATGCAATTTTTCTGAAAATTTGACCAATTTTCAACAAAAGAGCTCATGGTCACTTTTGCTTTTGAATCACTCTACTCTAGTCTAGGAATTATTTGAATATTTATGATTTTTCATGAATTTCGAAAAAACGCTAAAATGACCAACTTTGAGCCTCTGAAAAAGTGTCATAGAAGGCCCCAATTTTTCTAAAATTTTTTTGGGACAAATCTGACATCAAATACAAGTTTTTCATATTTGCAGAAAAAAATTTTTTTTGGCCATTCGACTTCACACAGATTTCATTTTTGGGTAGGATTTTTTGTCCCCTTTCTATTGCATTTTTGAAACTTCAAAATTTTGATCATTCAGTGAGATGCAGCTGTTTCCGTGAGTCATTTTCGTATACTTTGCGTGTTAAATTTTTTCTTCTTTTGCGTTTTTCGGCGTTTTATGCTTTTACAAAGTGCACCTCAGTTGTCGTAACATTCAGAGCGTACCGATTGCATTACAGCACCAGGGTCGCGTACACTTCTTCAGAACATCAACCTCGGGCGAGGCGAACCGACCCTTAAGTCCCCCTGCACAAACACTTCAGCACAATTTTTTTTTCATTTTACTTTTTTTTTGTGAGCTCCTTCATGAATCTACTGATTGAAAGTGATCTATGAGTTCGATCACGTCGCCCGAGGTTGTGAACGTTACCATTGATCTTCTGAAGAAGTGTACGCGACCCTGGAGCTGTAACTCAATCGGTACGCTCTGAATGTTACGACAACTGAGGTGCCCTTTATAAAAACGTAAAACGCCAGAAAACGCAAAAGAAGAAAAAATTTAACACGCAAAGTATACGAAAATGGCTCACGGAAACAGCTGTATCTCACTGAATGATCAAAATTTTGAAGTTTCAGAAAATGCGATGGAAAGGGGAAAAAATCCTACTCAAGAATGAAATAAAAATTTTTTCGATTTTAAGCCCCCTTTGAGCCCTTAAGTCATCAGCTATCAGCTGATGTTCTGGACCTTAATCTGGAGTACCAGATCGTGGTGTACAATCAAATTAGCATTTCTTCGGAATTTGTTTTATTTGCTAAAAGGTGAGCCATGTTAAAAAATCTTGAAGAAATGCTGATCTAATTGAATAATTGTTCAATTGTGAAAGTTGATTTGGTTCTTACAACAAGATTTGGAATATTTATAAATGTAAAGAAGTCCATGTTCCTAGGGAACTGAATCAACTTACGCCAAGGTTACATTATGACCTGATGCAACAGTTAGTCAGGACTTGGTGAATTACCTGATATCTGTTAGCGGTTGCACCCGCAAAGTTAGAGACTCGGACCTCGAAAAGTTGCAATCGATTTGTCGCTTCCTTCACTGTTTATAAACAACAGCGCGTGACTACAGTTTCACGACGTAAATTGTGCAGTGAATGAAGTGACTAATCGATCTCAACTTTTCGAGGTCCGAGTATTTAACTCCGCGGGCGTACATAAATCGACGTCTGAATTATAGATATCAGTTACCTTTCGCTTCAAGCTATACGCACGTTTCGTACGCAAGCAATTTGTTATCAAGCAAAGTGAACGGAAGAGATTTTCATTAATAAATTTATTAAGAAGCTTCAAATCTCAAAATTACAGCTATTTTTTTTTTTTGGCGATATCCTGTATCATGTGCGATTCATACCTAGAATAATCGTACCTTTATGTATATTTTCATTATTTTTTAATCGATATGCCGTTTTTTTTTTCATAACCTTTTCTCTTGTTTAGTTTTAAAAATGTTGTACTAATTCAAATGAACGGTAAATGAATTTTTATCACACGGGCAAAAATATCTTAAAATCGACTGGCTGCAATCGATGATGAAATATTTCATTACGCATCCGGATGGGGAGTGGGGGAAGGTTGCCCATCTTGCACGAATGATAAATTTTCAGTACAAACATAGCGAGGATGCTCCAGTTGCCCACACCATTTTTTTATCACAGCGTGTAGAAAGTCGATTTTAAGATCATCAGCGGTGGGTAAAGGTAGCACTTTGTGCACGAAGTAATGAAAAATACTATACATAGCTGAGGTGGATGACGTTCTTGAATTCGTGTAATATGACAACATTCCTCCTCAATTACGTAAAGAATTATTAAATTGGCTAGTATGATATTTTTTATCTAACAATAAATATCTGAATAGTAATGCAACATTTGTGCAAATTACCTGTGCTGGACCGGTATCACTGTCTAAGTTTGGAATTTAAATAAAATTCAAATACTGCAGATTCAGGTGAAAAATGATAATAAAAATTTGACAATTTATTTTACTTTTTTTTTCGCTACCGTCCTTCGAATAAACGTCTATGGAAGGCGTATGCCCATGCATTAAAAAAAATTACTCTTGTACTTATCGATAATACATATAAATATTGTACAAATATTCTACTTTAAATAGAAGGAATGTATATGATTAAAATTATTAATTCCTGTATCATAATTTTAATTGATTTTCAGAACGCCTCATTTTGGGAATTAGAAATGCTAAAGAAATACTCAAATCTAAACTAGAAGAGGTAAACCCAGAGGTTCAAGATGAACTTACGAAACAGATGGAAAAAATTTTACGGAATTCTGCTCGTACGTATTCAAAGAGTATAAAGTTGCTCATTTAAAAATATGGATCATAACATTTTTTATGTATTCTTATTTAAGTATACTTTATTTGTTGTGATGTTTCACAACATATAATTCTTGGATAAATCGAAATATTCTTAATGAGGGTTGAGACCACTTCTATGTTCTTGATTTTTTTTAAGAGGAGTGTTATTTTTAGTCTGTCGTGACTGATTTCTTGTGAAAATAGAAGTTTTATTTCTAGTAGTAGTGAAATTGGAGGTGAATATAAATGCTTGAGTCTTAATGGTTCACGTGTCGGAGCTTTTTTAGCTGAATGGTCATTTCTTTTAATTCCACTTGGTTACCGTCAAAAGTAACAATTAGTCAAAAGCAGCCATCCGTATGAAATATGAGGAAGTTCCTAAAAATTTGAGGCAAACCCCGAAATATCTGAAACAATGCCAGCGAAACTAGTATTGAATAAGAAAATTTAGGCACTTTTATTTTGTCACAGCCCGAATCGTGTGCCGACATAGGCATTTTAATATCTATATGGCCGATTTTCAAAGAAATCGAAGGATTAGCATTTTTCATTGTTATTGCGGGGCCGTATGGGGTTTATACCCCACGGTCCCAATAATAAACAAATTAAATAATCAAAATAATCAAATTGTAGAGCGCCTTAAACGAAAAAGTGCAAAATAGTTTTTTTCATAAAAATTGTCCAAAACTTCAGAAAAAATATATTCCAAAATGTTCTAAGCACCGAGAATAGAAAAAAGATAAAAAAAATAGAAATAGATAAAAAAAAAACAGTGAAGTAAAAATCTAATCGAATTCGATCCGAACTTTTATTTACTTGAAATTTAAATATATTGCGAATACTCGACTCGAACTCGAGTACCCGAAAAAACTCGAGTACTTGATTCGAAGTCGAGGAAAAAACTCGAACTCGACGAGTCGAGTTTTTTCGAGTACTCGCCCAAGTACAAGGATACGGTAGGTTCGTATAAAAACGCAGTAAATGGTGCAAAAACATGATAGGATTTATCATGTTTTTGCACCATTTACTGCGTTTTTGTACAAACCTATCGTATCCTTGTAATTGGGCGCACAGGCCTACTGTAAACATCAATAATTATCGACAAACGTCAAAAAAATGTAAAAAACTAATGTTTTTGGCGATGTTATGCATTTGGAACCTTTTAAAAAAACTCCTTACAGTAACAGTGTACGAGTGAGGATTTTAGCGAGTTATAGTTATATATTTTTTAATAAGCTATTTAGAACGTGGATTTTTACTGGATATCTGTTTTTATCTTTTCCAAAAAAAACCCTGGAAATGTGTTTGTGAGTAGCTTTTTTTTGTAATAGTTGCGGAATAATCACAGATGAATATTGTACAGCAGATATAGCAGATTGTGATATTTGTGAGTTGTTTTTGTCTTCCTGTTCTTGAATCAGTCTTTGATCCGTTGTCTATTCGCCGGATGACCTACGAGCAGGCCTACTATCTTTCTATGATTTGCTATAAAGGCTGTCACAGGATCTTATAGATAAGATTGCTTATTGGTCATGTAACCTACACAAAAGTGTGTTGATGATAAGTCACATAAATATTTTGTCCTCTGACATGGCTATTTTGTGCTTTTTTCTTCATTCTCGATAGATCAAGTAAAACTTTCGTATTAGTATCGTGTTGTCAGAAATACTGTTACATTTATTATATAAAATTGAGTATATCTAGAACTTAAAGTACTACCGAAAACAAGATCATTGATAATATATTTTTTTTCCAGGAATTAAAGTTGCAAACAACTCCACTGACTTCGTAAACAATGTTTTACAAAAAACCAGTACCGGATCTGTCGAAGTCAACATTGACAAAATCCTCAAGTAATAATAATTTTAATGTTTCTTCTTGAAGTTGAAGAAAATATATAGCTATCTTGTTTATTAGTCATACGGCTTATTTTTTATGAATATATTGTTATTTTGTTACTATTTAATGATAAGCATACTTATGAATAATTCAAATGCATATTTTCGAATGATATTTGGGAAAAACTAGAAAAACAACCTATAATGTGAAAGATTATGATCAACTGTCTTTTCTGAAGCATAAATAAATTATCTCTTTGTTTTATTTAATAAAAATATATTCATTAATAACCAAATTTCATTAAAAAAAATTTTAAGATTGAATGAAAAAAAAACCTAATAAAAAATTAATAATGATGAAACATAAATATATTGCTCATCAGAGATTTTTCCTTACCTGTAAAATTCAACGAACACACTTAAAGATCGACTCATACGAATAAGAAACTGTCCAAAGTTTATTGGGATCCTTATTTTACCGTTTGAAGTATTTTAACTTTTCAAACAAACATTTAAAACGAAATCTTCCAATAATGATGCAGGTAAATAGTTATTTATGTAACAAGTGCCCAAAAAGCGTTTTTGGGCACGAGTGTGCGGAAAAGGACACGAGTGCCGGCTATGCCGGCACGAGCGGGTGTTTTTTCCACACACTGTGCGCAAAAAGCTGGGCACGGGTTGCATACAAAATTTTATGCAATAGTAGGCGAAAAAGACATTCATTTAAATGAGGCGTTTTACCGCACACCCGTGTCCAAAAGGGGGCATTTCACCGCACACAGGTGTCCAAAAACGCTTTTTGCACACTAAAAAATGTGCGAAAAATAGTTATTTATGTAACAAGTGCCCAAAAGGCGTTTTTGGGCACGAGTGTGCGGAAAAAGACACGAGTGCCGGCTATGCCGGCACGAGTGGGTGTTTTTTCCGCACACTAAGCGCAAAAAGCTGGGCACGTGTTGCATACAAAATTTTATGCAATAGTAGGCGAAAAATACGTTCATTTAGATGAGGCGTTTTACCGCACACCCATGTCCAAAATGAGGCATTTTACCGCACACAAGTGTCCAAAAACGCTTTTTGCGCACTTAAAAATGTGCGAAAAAAGACATTTTTCGTCATACTATTGCATAAAGAAAAAAGTGTATCTTTAAATGCAGTACTTTTCGAGATATCTTGCCGCCCGATTCAGAAAACATGGTTTCTAGAAAAATGCGTTTAAAGTTTTAAAAAGTGAATGTACATGGCCGATTCTCTGTCAACTCAACCGGTTAAAATTATTTTCTATATCTAATACGATGAAAATATTGTTTGGGATGTCAGGAATGTACAAAAAAATTTATAGAGCGATTGGGGCCTTCTATCACCCTTATTGAGAATTCGAAAGTTGGCCTTTTTTGTATTTTTTCGTTATTTATCGAAGATCGCAAATATTTCCATAAGCTCTAATTCAGTGTAGAATGACTCAAAAGTAAAAGTGCCCAGGAGGTTTTTAGTTGGAAATCGTCCAAATTTTCAGAAAATATGGGTCCCGAAACGATCTGAGCACTCTGGAGGCTTCTGCAATAGAATTGACCAAGAAAAAACAAAAAACACAAAATCTAATCAAGTATGATCCGGACTTTCCTTTCTATAACTATTTAAGAAGATTCCTCAACATGTCAACTACTCCCTTGTAAGTTTTTATAATGGTTTGAGCCTTGGTTTGCCCTGGAGACGCAAATATGTGTCGGAAAACGTGCAAAAAAGGCCCCTAGCGCAGAGTATCGCCTTAGATCTTTACATGTTACACATGCTAGGCAAACTCAAACCAAAATCAAAAGTACACAAACTGAAAAAGCACAAAATTACCTTTAATTTGAGGTATATAAAAAGTCTCTGAGTCCTCTAGAACCGAAGATACAGCTGTTTGAAGTTTCACTGAGAATTAAAGCATAAAATCTTGCATTTTCATACACCACTTGACATGATACTTGAATGTTCAGTAAAACTTCAAATAGCTGTATCTACGGTTTTAGAGGACTTAGAGACTTTTTACATACACCAAATTGAAGGTAATTTTGTGCTCTTTAAGTCTAACCAATTACTTTTTCGGCCTAATTTTGTCTTGCATGTGTAAAATGCAGGAAACTGAAAAACAAAGAAAAATGTAGTTTTATCTCCGAATGCGCCAAAAGTGTTTTTGGACACCTGTGTGCGGTAAAATGCCCCATTTTGAACACGGGTGTGCGGTAAAACGCCTCATTTAAATGAATGTCTTTTTCGCCTACTATTGCGTAAAATTTTGTATGCAACAAGTGCCCAGCTTTTTGCGCACAGTGTGCGAAGAAAACACCCGCTCGTTCCGGCATAGCCGGAACTCGTGTCCTTTTAGGAATAATTGTGTCTGGTGATCAAAGTCTGTAACACGTTGTCGTCCGAATTTCTCGTTACATGCCTAAATTCTGAATTCTATTCGGGACTGAAGCAACTGTTCGCAAAGCCGACCATTTCTTACGAGGAAAACATATTTTTAGAATTAAACTTAGTGTTATCTGCTCAAAGTGTAAGATTGTGTAATGAATTTTCTTATTATACTTGTATAGAAATAATATGGTCTCGTGATTGACGTCTCGCAGATGTTTTGATATGCGTGTCTTGTTTAAGGACGGAAGCCGGAGTCTTTGCGAGAATTAACTATCTTCCCCATAGCACGACTTTCTCTACGAGAAAATAAATTTCTATTTCGGGACTGAAGCGACTGATCGCCAAGATGACCATTTCTTACGAGAAAAACATATTTCCAAAATTCAACTTATTGTTATCAGCTGAAAGTGTTAAGCTATGTAAAGATTTCTCTTATTATACTTGTATAGAAATAATATGGTCTTGTGATTGACGTCTCGCAGATGTTTTGATATGCGTGTCTTGTTTAAGGACGGAAGCCGGAGTCTTTGCGAGAATTAACTATCTTCCCCATAGCACGACTTTCTCTACGAGAAAATAAATTTCTAATTCGGGACCGAAGCGACTGATCGCCAAGATGACCATTTCTTACGGGGAAAACATATTTCCAAAATTCAACTTATTGTTATCAACTGTAAGTGTTAAGTTATGTAATGATTACGCTTATTTCTTGTTACATGATTTATTTCTTAATACTATTCGGGACTGAAGCGACTGATCGCCAAGATGACCATTTCTTACGAGGGAAACATATTTTAAAAACTCAACTTATTGTAATCAGCTTAAAGTGTTAAGCTATGTAAAGATTTCTCTTATTATACTTGTATAGAAATAATATGGTCTTGTGATTGACGTCTCTCGGATGTTTCAATATGCGTGTCTCGATCAACGACGGAAGCCGCAGTCTTTGCGAGAATTAACTATCTTTCCCAAAGCACGACTTTCTCTACGAGAAAATAAATTTCCAATTCAGTACTAAAGCGACTGATCGCCAAGATGACCATTTCTTACGGGGAAAACATATTTTCAAAATTCAACNTTACGGGGAAAACATATTTTAAAAACTCAACTTATTGTTATTAGCTTCAAGTGTTAAGCTATATAAAGATTTCTCTTATTATACTTGTATAGAAATAATACGGTCTCGTGATTGGCGTCTCTCAGATGTTTCAATATGCGTGTCTGGTTTAAGGCCGGAAGCCGGAGTCTTTGCGAGAATTAACCATCTTCCCCAAAGCACGACTTTCTCTACGAGAAAATAAATTTCTAATTCGGGACTGAAGCGACTGATCGCCAAGATGACCATTTCTTACGAGGAAAACATATTTTAAAGATTCAATTTATTGTTATCAGCTGAAAGTGTTAAGTTATGTTATGATTACGCTTAT